TAAGTTTGTAGGTTTTAACTTTTCACCTTATAATATGACACTTTTAGCCCTTTACATACATGAATTAAAAAAAAAAAAACCTCACTTAACATCATGTTATAACGTTCTGTTAGTTCTGTTAGTTGATTGTTAGTTCTATTAGCTGATTATTAGTTCTGTTAACAAACTGTTAGTATTTGTTAGCATTTCGTTATAAAAAAATATAAATTTTAAATTTAATATAACTTGTTAATTCTGTTAATGGAATACTTACAGAACAGTAACAGTTGGCTAACAGAGTTAACAAATAGAGTTAACAATCAGCTAACAAAACTAATAAAACGTTATAATTTGACCCTAAGTAATGATTATTTTCTTCAATTTGTATAGGTAAATGGCTAAAAGTGTTATAATATAAGATAAGAGATTAAAACCTACAAAATTATTAAGATATGAGTTAAAAGTATCATAATATAAGATAAAAGATTAAAATTTACAAATTTATTAAAATAAAAGACTCAAAGTAAGTTTTAACCCATCTTCTTCCAGTCGGGGAGAAGAACTAAACTATGGGCTCTAGTCGAGAATGAGTTTCTGCGTTTGTATTTAGGGGTTTCCTATAATGTCATTCGATTTTTTTCTTACGTTAATATACCGAGTCCTATTCCAGATTGAAATGTAGTTTTTAATAAGAAAATACAGTACTTTTGATTTTTTTTTTTTAACAATTATCATGACATCGAATTGAACCTTTACTCTGAGTAAACTTTTAGAGTAACGGAGTCCACTTAACCCTATAAATTAGGTTTCTTGATATAATTAGATTTTTTAGTAACTTTTTATTAATTTGTGGGTTGCACATTAGATTGAATTATTTCCCTATTCTATACCCCGCCTGTAAATTTAATAATTTTAGTTTGATTTTTTAATTAGTTAAAAATAAATTTTAAATAAAAATTTAATATATTATATAAATAATAGTCAAGAGATTTTTTTAATCAAATAAAAATATTCATAAAAAACTAACGTATGGTTAAAAAAGATTGTTGGTGGGATGACATAAATTTCTTCATTTCTTCATTTTATATATTAATTTTTATTATACTCATTAAATATAATTTCAAAATTATATATTTAATTTATATAAAAATATATATTTATAACAATAAATTTAAAACCATGCATGAAAAATTTCAATATTCAATTTGTATCGTTCAATAATAAAACAACTGCACATGTAAATACTGTATTAACAATCTTGCTTTCTTCTTCTTCTTATTTCTTTTTTTTCTTTCCTGTTTTCTTAATTTCTTCAATTTTCTTCTTGATGACTTCCACTTATAGATAAAGTCCTACCACATTAAAATTAAACACATTAAGACATAAAAAGGTAACTATTTTATAATTTTAAAATTTAAATACATTTTTCACTATTTTTCTTTATTTTTTATTTATTTAAATATTTTAATAATTTTATTCATTAATATATATTTTATGTGAAAATTTAAATTATGACGGACACACTTATTTTCGGGTTTCTTAATGGGATTTTGCGGGATTTGCAAACGCATCCGAATCGAATTGAAGTCTTTACTGGCAATTTCGCGATGACATCTACAATGACGACGAAGTGGCGGTGGCAGCAGAGACCGAGCTGTGCTGTATGATAGCGGCTCTGCTTTCAGTTTCGCTCTCGAACCATGGAGAAAGGTGGAGGCCTAGGCGGGGCATCGGAGCCTGGTTCGTCGACTCCGTACATTGTTCTGAAAAATGACGAGTCCAGAACTTTCAAATTTTTCTTTTTCCCTTTTTTGCCAATAGAACTTTCAATTTTAAAAGAAGGCGACTGCATAATGAAGAGTGAAGTTAAAAGAAGTGCAATATGCTCGATTTTTGTATTTGTATAGAACACCGTTTAGTCTCATGAAGGATTGCTTCTTGGCTGATTCTTGTTGCTAAAGAAAAACTTGGAAAAAGGAAAAGAGGGTTCATTTTCAATTCGACTAATGTAAGTACCCTTCTCTTGATTCTAACGATTCATCCTTCGATATTATTTGCTTGGTCTTTCATTGAAGGAAGAAAATACAAAAAACAGAATATAAATGGCTAGAATTTCTTTTTTCCCCTTTTGGATAAATATTATTAGAGCAATTTTATTACTATATAAATTGTAAAAAGAAATTAAGGCTTAAAACTTATAATCAAAACTTCCCATTAAAAAAAAAGAAACTTAAAATCAAAACATATATAATGCTCAATCAATTATTTTGTCTGCGATTGATATTATGAGCAATTTTGTTGAGAATATACTTATTCTTATTTTTGGAAGACTGCTTGTTTGAAGTTTGTAATACCTGGTATTTATTTATTTATTTATTTATTTTATAACTTTTAAATAATTTTAATTAAGCCCTTAAAGGACTTAAATGTAAAGAGAGGGAACTAAGGGGTTTAACTATAAAGGAATCAAGAGTGGAAGGACTAACCAAATAATTATAAACATTTTTTACTAAAACCTAAATAGGAAACGGGTTAGGTGTTGGCAAAACTTCTGAAATGCTGCCGCCCACTTCTGAAAGCAAATAGAAAAGGGCTTCCGTCCTGTAGTTGCAGGATTAGTTGAATTGAGGAAAATTTACAGTAAGTTTCTTAATTATGTGCTAGTTTTGTTCTTAAATCTAATTTTATAATTAAAAATGTGAATTGGAAGAGGAATTGAGAGAATTTTTGGGACTCTATTTTTTGTCAAATTTGATTCTAGCAAAATGGCCTACGATTTGTAGATCTTTCCAATTCTAATAAAGAAGATAGTACAAAAGTTTTGAATAATTCAAGAGGTTGTGCCGAGTGAAAAATTGATTAATTATTCAAGTAAGTTGTTATACCCTCTAGTATTCTTTTAAAAGGTTTGTTTTACTAAAATTTATCTTACATTTTTAGCGTATTTTATATAATCTTATTTGGTTACTGTATTTAAAAAAAAAAGAATATTTTATAATGAAATGAGATGAATGTTGATCAAGCATTTTGAGTGTGAACTGTTTTCTATCGAAAAGTGTGATTTATTAAATTGGAAATAATTTTTCTTTTAATACTAGGTTTTCATGTTCTTGGTTGGCTAGTTAAAGTAACTCATTCCTCAGGGGTATATTGAGGGTATTGATAGTAGTCTCAGAATCTATTTATCATGGAGTGTGATGAGGAGTGTGACGTTATATTTGGATTGTGATGCAGCCTAAAGAACTTGTAATTGTGGTTTTCTTTTCATCTAGTTTGGAATGTGGTTTCCTTATTGTAAAGTTGTTTACTTTATTTAATTATTATTTTCATTGAAATATAATGCTTGATCAAACTAGATGGGTATACTCTTACTGAACTGTCTAGCTTATACTTTTAAAATCTCATCTCATTTCAGATACAGAAGAGTGAGCATTTGGGGTTGCATTTGGGAGTGAGAGGCGCAACAATCCTAGAGTAGTTCTTTGGTTTAGTTTAAGTTATTTTTGGATTGTGGAATAATTAGAAATGAAGACCTATTTGCTATGACTTATTGCTATGAGATTTTGTGTTGGATTTTATGAAGTGAGGATCAAGTGTTTTGGATTTGACCAACTACTCATACATGTTAATAAAGATGGAGTTTCTTATAGAATTTAACTTTATTGCATTTAGATATTACAAGTTGTTTAGTTGAGGTAACCTTACACATTTATGGGATTATCCCTATAGATGTGTGGCGTTTGTCATGTCTTGACCTTGGGGTTGAGGCATGACAAAGTTGAACCACCAGAAGCTTTCTCAACCTTTGAACTATCAGATTCTTTGGAAGTTCCATTGTTGTTTTTTGACTCACGAAAATCTCTTTGATCATCACTCAGAAAATTGATCTCACGCTTCTCTTTGGATTTGGAAGAGTTATCCATGCTGCAAACAAAAATGAAATCAAGAGTGAGATTATCATTGTTTCCCATCATATGCTTAATTACTTGCATGTTCTTACTTTCTTGTATACGGATGTATGCACTCAAAAAAAAAAAAAAAAGGAACAGGGAGAAGGCAAAGCGAAGGTGGTTAGGCCGCTAAAGGTTTTTCATTTTTTGTTGCAAAGAGAGGGGAGACCTCCAAAATCCAAATACAATACATATTATTTGACCAAAACTAAAGCTGAATGATGAAAAAGGCTAATTTTGATTACTACAATACCTTGAATGTGTGTAATTCTTCGAGTTATATCTTTAGGTCTAATTTGGTTTTACAAGTCATAAACAATAGTGCATGCACTATATAGTGAGCGTGAGACTAGGGTTTTGGGCTTTTCTGTGTGGGACCCTTTTTTAAATGTTATATGATTTTTAATAAAAATAGGGATTAGTGCTTACCCGCCTTATTTCTTAAAGATTAAGAAGAAAATTACCTCAAAATTATGTAATTTTAATAAAGTACTACAGTAAAAAACAAAAAACATTTTAATTCATACTTTAAAAATATGATATTTTAGTTTTTTCAATGAGGATATATTGAAACGATATAGTTTTTAGATAATTTTTTCCTTAATTTTTAAGAGATAAGGTAGATAAATACTATTCCCATAAAAGTATTCATAAGGATACGAATTTTGTATTTATTCTATTTAAATATATAAATTTTTTTGTTTTTAAATCAAGAAGCCATCTTTTAATTTTTTATGATAAAGATACAAACTTTGCAAGTTCCCCATTCAAGTCTTCATTGGATCAACAATATTATGTTTAAAACTACCATTTGTTATGTTATTCTTGCCATCTAATAAAACTTTAAATAGAAAACTTACAAAATTTATATCTTTATTTAAAAAAATTGAAAGGTCACCACTTGATTTAGAAATTTAAATTCTTATTTTGAAGAAAGGCAAAGTTTGTACGTTATGTGCACCATTTTTCTATGGGACCCATTTTAGTTCTTCTTTCTTTGATGGTTTAGTCCCCGTAAACTTTAATTCGCGGTTGTTATTGTATATGCCCATCGATAAATTGAATTCTTACATTAGAGGATGAGTAATTTAACTGTGTTTCAACAATCACCACAAATCAAGAATGAATAGTGGGTCCACCATAACAAACTATAACGGTGGCGTCACCCACAAGATGGCTCTGGCCAATTTATGCAACGGAAAAACAATGAAATTGCAGCCTCGGCTAGGATGCAAAAAGGATAATTTGTTAAGAGAAAATTATCTATACATCTTTCATTTCAATATATTTATTAATATTCATAGATTCAGTTATTCAATTATATAATTAAAAGTTTTTTTTTCTTGAATTTAAATTTAAAAATAATAATTTTTTAATAAATTTATTATAAAATGTGTTAAAATAAATAATATACTCATAATTGTCCTTTGTTAAGACATTTATTTATTTTACCCCTAAATGTATCAAGTTTCATTGAACTCTATTTTTTCTTTGGTTTGGATTATCAAGTTTCAATTTCTCCTTTTTCCATTTTGTTCATAAGATTAAGTGAGTAATAGCTACTTGCATGAGTTAAAGTATTGTTTTGATGATGGCTAGGACTGTAAATGAATGATAAGCTGCATGATTTAAGCTTGGTAGCTCAATTTAATTATTTTAAATTATAAATAAATTGGCAATTCACGAGCTACTCAATTCGAGCTTGGCTTGTTTAGTAAACGACCCAAGCTTGAGCTTCACGTTTCTCTAAACGAGGAAAACACAAGCTCTACTTTGTTGAGTTCAACAAAATTCGAGCTTGACTAGAGTTTGTTATTGTAGAGTTGAGCTCGAGCTTAAGCATTTTAATGCTCAATTTTGCTCAAATAATTTATAGGACAAATCAGGCCCAAAACCTTTTATATCAATTTTTTTTATATTTTCTATGTATTTTTAATGTTTTCTAAGTATTTTTAATGTTTTCTTGTCACTTTTCATAAAATTATTTATATACTTATGTAGTTTTTAATTTTTTAATGATTGAAATTAGTAAAATAAATAAATAATTAATTAAAAACTATTAAAAATATATAAAAATAATTTTTTAATTAAAACCGAAACTAATCTAAATGATTATTCTAAAAAAATTAACTAAAATCGATAAAATCCTTTTTTTTTTGTTTGGTTAATAATTTTTATATTTTAGTAACCAAAATTTTGGTTAACATCGTGCCCATGCCCAGTTCAAACCATTAAAAGACTCCAATTTCAGATATATATTGCTTTTGGATATTCAATGATATACTTACTAAATAGTATTAAGTGTAAAAACTTGATGGGTGAGAAAATTATTTTAATTTAACAGATGGTTAAGTACTAAATTACATATTTACATTTCTGGTTCAACTCGAAGTTCAATTACTACCCGAAGTTCATAAACCGCCTTTCTTTGGCGCGCGCCAATTAACACTCTACTTCTAAGAAACCCAAAGCATTCCACCATTAACGTTTCAGAATCTGAAATCGGAGAATTTAGGGTTTCAGTTCGATCTTCTTCTATTTGAACTACCTTTGTTCTGTTCTTACTTCGTTTTGTTCTTCACACCCTGTTCTTTTGGTTACTGAAACTTGATGGCAGGAGAGAGATTCTCCGCCAGAAAAGTTGGGTCTTCGTGTTTTGAGTCGGTGAGCTGGGGTCGGAATTTTCGCCGTGAGGAAACTAGATGGCGATTTGACTCAAGGCATGGAGAGATTAGGTCCCGTAGAGGGTTTTGTTCGGAGTTCAAGAGGGTTGGATACGAAGAAGGAATCGTGCACGAGAAAAGATCTGATCATGGGTTCAAATGGGTTCGATACGAAGAAGGAATCGTACATGAGAAAAGGTACGATCGTGAGTCCAGCGGCGTTGGATATGAAGGAGGAATCCTGCACGAGAAGAGGTCCAATCGTGGGTTCAAGAGGGTTCCATATGAAGAAAGAATCGTACATGAGAAAAGGTACGATCGTGAGTCCAGCGGGGTTGGATATGAAGGAGGAATCGTGCATGAGAGAAGGTCCGATCATGGGTTCAAAAGGGTTCGATACGAGGAAGGAATCGTGCATGAGAAAAGGTCCAATCATGGGTTCAAAAGGGCTCGATACGAGGAAGGAATCGTCCATGAGAAAAGGCACGACCATGGGTCCGATAAGGTTCGATGCAAAAGAGGAATCCTGCATGAGAAAAGATCCGACCATGAATCTAAGGAGGATCGAGTTTGCGAAGTAGTGAATCCGGTTGAAGAACGTCTTCTGCCTTTGAAGAAGAGAAAGGGGTTCAGGTTCTCTGTAGTTCCCCCTGACACCGCAAAATCCACTGTAAAAAGGCTCAATTTGGTGGGTTTGGCGAAGTTAGACTCACGGCCTCTACAGTTGCCACCGGCGTTACGAGATTTGGAAGAGGGTGAGATCGTTGAAGAGTCACGAAAGTTGTCGCCTTTTGTAGAACCGAAGGGAGGAGAAATCACTGAAGAGTCTGTTGCGGTGAAGGCTGTATCCGCAATCCCCAGAAGCAGAGACCCAATTCAGAACTGCACCCGCCTGTCAGAGTACAGATTACTGGGCAAGATCAACGAGGGCGCATATGGTGTTGTTTATAAGGCCATGGAGCAGAAGACTGGAAAAATTGTGGCACTGAAGCGGATGAAACACGAGAAAGGAAAGACTGGATTGCCTCTTGCAGCCTGGAGGGAGATCAAAATCTTGTTCTCCTTAAACCACCCTTCAGTTTTGAGTGTTAAGGAAGTTGTAAAGGGCGAGGGTGATGATTTCTTTATGGCTATGGAATTTATGGAGCAGGACCTCAATCGATACATCAAATCGAGGAAACAGGGTTTTAGTACTGGTGAGGTGAAGGGGTTGATGCTCCAGCTGCTGGAGGGAGTTTTGTATGTTCACCAAAACAAGATTCTCCACAGAGATTTGAAGACAGCAAATCTATTGCTGAACAGTGAGGGTAAGGTGAAGATATGTGACTTTGGACTGTCGTGCCGCGAAACAAATGATGGGAAGCCACTGACATCTTTAGTGGTTACATTGTGGTACAGAGCACCCGAGCTTCTTTTGGGAGCAACGCGCTATTCCAAAGAGATTGATATGTGGTCTGTAGGGTGTATAATGGCAGAGTTGTTGAAGAAGGAGCCACTTTTCAGGGGGAAATCAGAAATTGATCAGGTGAATTCCATAGTCACAGTCCTTGGCACACCCACATTGAAGAACTGGCCTGGTATGTCCACTTTACCAGGAATCAGCAGTGTTACTTTTGTAAAGCAGCCCGAGAATCAACTTCGGCAAAAGTTTCCCATACTTTCTGAGATGGGGTTGGATTTACTCAAGGGATTTCTCACTTATGATCCAAGGAGAAGGATCACAGCAAAATCCGCACTACAGCATCCCTGGTTTTCTGAGTTCCCACATCCCAAGCCATTAAGAATGTAAGCCGTAAAATGTTGTCAGAATTGAAATATTTTATGACAATTAATTGATTGACATTTCTTATGTTGTTTCATCCCAATTGAGGAATCCTGATCTGTTTTCCGAGAATGGATATTGCTGTATAGTTTAATCATTTGTATAAACTGTGTTGTCCCTTTAACATGAACTGGAGTTTGGCATTTGGTTCCCTTATTTAATGGAACTAAATAAAGTTACCTGCATGTTGGATATTCCAAAGCTTGCTTGTATTCTATAGTAATTCATTCAACTTCTCGTCAATTAAAAGCTTGCCTTTGTATGGTTCAGAAAACATCTGTATTACATCTTGTTGTGAACTAAAACCGACATCTTCATCAACTTAATGGCTATCTGCTACAAGAATGGCAGAATTCTAATTCCAATTCAGACAGAAACACACCATCAATCCCACTTCCTTCAAATAAATAACAGGAACGAGGGAAATCTGCTGTTCTGAACCCCTGTACATACTAATCCACTACAGATCTCCATATCACGAATTCCACAAGAGAGCATTAAAATAAGCTCTAATGTTGAAAAAAGAAAAGGAAAAAACCAAGCAAAAATATCACCGCAGAGTTGTAGCATCATACATAAAACTTAGAAGCCTGCTTTTTATGTTTTGAAAAGAAAAGCATAGCAATGAATATAGGGATGTAACAGGACCGCGTCCAGCTTCATGGTGGAACTATGGGCATGTAGGGAAGGTTTAAGGCTGGCTTGTTCCTTGGGAATTTTTCATTTGGTGCTTGAAATGGACTCCATGTTGGTAGTGCAATTGGTCCGAGCTCAATCGGTTGGTACTGGAATTACTTCGTCCTTGTTTGCTGATATTTACTCCTTGTTGAATTCATTCATTGAGCCATTGTGTTAGACGCCACACAGTGGATATGGCGCATTTAGGCCACAGTATGGCTCTGGGAACAACTCTTTTCATGACACCTCCAGCAGGTTTGAGCTTGATCCTCCATGGGGACATTATTGGGGACTCCTTTCCTAAGGACTTGAGCTGATTTCTTACTCATGTACTCAAACAAAAACACACACACACAAAAACAAAAACACAGGCAGAGAAAAGTATAGCAATAATTTAAGAACAAGTTGACAAGTAAAACTAAAATCTCAAAGGGGGCTAAATTGACCCTTAAATGGCCTTGAAGCTTCAGCTTGAACCATTGTGCTTTGTGCATATTCTCCAAATTAGCCACACATTTCTGATACATCCCATTGCATTCACTTCTTCCAGAACTTAGGCATCTCTTGACCCATTATCTTTGTCCAGTTCTGTATCAACCATGCATTAATTTAGGATTCAAGTAATGGACTTTTGCACAAGATCCAATATCAACTCTTTCTGTTGATCATTAATTTGAGGTTAACACGCCTGCAAGAGAGCAACTGGCATCTCCCTCTTAATGGCCCTTGCAGCATCTGATTCACTAATGGTCATATTTGGTTGGAACTGCATGCTGCATAATCATACTTTTTTATGCAATACTTTGTGAGAAAGTTTCAAAAATTCAGCAAAAGAGGCCTTCCAAAAGGAATGATTTGTCATATTGTAGTGGCCAGCAGCTCAAGACTCGATTATGATTTTTGTTGCTCTATCAAGAACAGACTTTAAAATGAGAAAAGCTCCATCTCCAGCAAGATAATTTCAATTTTGAATTACAAATCAATTTGCACATATTAGATTAAAAACAGGTATACAATCACGTTTAATTCATCCTGAAAACTGAAAAAAGAGGAAGTATTGTTCCAAGCAATATAATGTAAGCTAGATAACCATGGCTCCCAAGTTAGGGAATAAGGCTATAAGCACACAGAGCTCCATGTAATCTAGTTGAATCTCAGTTTGATCAAAGCTGGACTCAACTAACCCATTAAGCTTAATAACAGCTTGAACCCAAATTTAGGCTCATTGCTTCAGCTAAGGGACTATTTCCTCATTTTATATTCAATATCAAAGCTTGTAAGCCATTCACAAAAAAGCTTGCCATCAACTTATACTTTAATTTAATTAAACCAGCCTAATGCGCTTACTGACTAAGATTTTTTACGTTAAAAACTTTCAAACTCCTGAACTTCCATAGGATTCCCCTACATTGCATATTAATTAAAACATTTATGCACATGATTCTTGCAAATAAAAGCTGAGGGATGACACTGAATTTCTAGTGAAAGTTTGGGAATTAAGGGGAAATGTATTACTTCCCTCAAAAATACCTAAGAATATAAGATAACTCTAACCATTTCTCTGATGTGCATGTGTATCCAAGAAGATGAATAAAGACCAAAGGATTAGTCAACTTCACTAAAAATAATGTGTGGCCTTAAAACCGAAAGACATTACAATATCAAAAGATCTGAAATAGATGAAAGCATAACTAGTAAACTGGGAGAAATAGTTTAAAGCAAAAGGAAGAAGTATTAAAAAATAGCAAAAGAAATCAAATAAGACTCTCTTATTTACCTTCTGTTATGCAACCGGTGTCATTCTGTGTGCCAATTGCCAGCTATAGGTGAAACTAGGCTCTCAAAGTAGATTTTAGGTGTTCCAATCTAACAGGATTTCACCATTCTCTGAAAAGAATAACACAGGTTTGTTCCATTAGAGAAAAAAAAATAAATAAAGAAAGAAAGAACACAAAGCACACAAAGGCACCTTCCAAAATCCCCAACTTTTCTAGTTTCACACCATCATCATAATCTGGTTGCAACACCTCCTCAACAGTCTCATTTGCTAAATCAAGTGAAACAATCTGTTCTCTACTCCTGAACAGCTAATTCAAAGTACCACCAACAAATTGACTGAGGATCAAATTCACAATCTTGATTCCTCCAAGAATTGGTCCTCCACGAATACACCCTTACCCTAACCATTCTTCTCTAACTATAAGGGGAGCTAGTTACCACTCTGTAAACTTTGTTGCAAGAATCATAACCAAAGCCGAATGCACTGCAACAATTCGGCAGCATTCTAAGTTCTCATAAAGCTGGGTTTAAGATCATGACTCCTGAACAACGACTGAACATACAAATCTACCCATTACAACAACCCACAACCCTGCCTGGACCATAAAAATTACAATTTGGGTAAACAACATCTACGGTATCAGCAAACGGTTCATTGAACAGGGAGAAAAGGGAGCAGCTTTTGAATCTATAATTGTCCATAATCGTCGAATCCATTAAGACAACCCAACAAGACACTTAATTGGGGTTTCTTACTGATTCAACCAAGTGCTTGTTGACGGAAGACGAATCGCTCGTTAGGGATTTCCAGGATTTGCGATCACACCCGAATCGAATCAAACTCTATACTGGCAATTTGACGAGGCTATCAACAATGACACCGCGGCGCCTCTGGAGAACGACGGAGACTTGGCCAGGCATCGAAGCCCAGTTAGTCAACCCTGCAGAACTTTCAATTTCAACTTCAATTCGCTGTTTTACAGTCCAGACGGTAAGATAGAGAAGGACGTCAATATCAGAAAATCCAATAAATGCAGTACAATAAAATCTAAACTGCAATTGTTGTAACAGAATGCAAACTACACGAGACTTATTTACAAGACAGTTAGAAAAGGGTGCAGTCTGCTCAGTTTTATATTCATATCGAATCCCATTAAGTTTCACGTAAGGTTGCCTCTGGGCTGTGGCTGAGTCTTGTTGCTAAAGAAAAAGTTGGGAAAAGGAGAAGTGGGTTTAGTTTACTAATGTGACTACCCTTCCGATTCTTAGGATTCTGCATCCTTCAATATTATTTGCTTGGCCTTTCATGGAAAATTAAAAAAACAGAATATATGTGGCTAGATTTTTCTTTTTCTTGGATATATATTATATTACAGCAATTTATTACTCAATATAAATTATTAAAGCATCAAGCTCTTCGAGTCAAGTGACATCTTGTCATATGCAATTTATTACTCAATATAAATTATTAAAGCATCAAGCTCTTCGAGTCAAGTGACATCTTGTCATATTGTGGTGCACTTCTCCTTTTTCTTGACAAATTGGAACCCGTCCTTGATAAATTGGTAAAAAAAAATAAAAATTATTAAAAAAAATAAACACTTAAAACTTATAATTAAAACTTTGCTTAAAAAACAAAAACTTAAAATCAAAGCTCTGTCAATTATTTTATCTGTTATTGATGTTGTGAGCAATTTTATTGAGAATATCTTTGTCCTTGTTCTTGCGAGACTGCGTGTTTAAAGTCAAGTTACTAGAAGATCTCTTAGTCTTTGAACTATCAAATTCTTTGTAAGTTTCATTGTTGTTATTCGATTCACGAAAATCTCTCTGATCATCACTCAAAAAATTGATCTCACTCTTCTCTGTGGATTTGGAAGAGTTATCCATGCTAAAAAAAAAAAAAAAACAAATCAAGAGTAAGATTATAATTGCTTCCCATCATATGCTTAATTATCGTGCATGTTCTTACTTTCTTGTAGATGGATGTATGCACCCAAAAAAAAGAAAAAAAGAACAGACAGCGGACAAAGCGAAGATAGTCAGGCACTAAAGGTGAAAGATGAAAAAGCTGATGTTAATTAATATAATACCTTGAATGTGTGTAATTCTTCGAGTTAACTTGGTTTTATAAGTTATAAACAATAGTCCATGGATTATATATAGTGAAAGAGTAGGGTTTAGGGCTTTTGATGTGGGACTCGTTTGTTTTTAATGTTTTGTGGGACTACAAAAATACTGATAAAGATACAAATTTTGTCTGTCTTTTATTTAATATATAAATTTTTTTATTTCTAAATTAAGTTGTTACTTTTCAATTCTTTTTAAATAAGGATAAGAAATTTGTGAATTTTCTATTTATACCTTTGTTAGATCAACATTCCACTTAAAATTGTCATCTACCACGTCATGCTCATCATCTATTAAAGTCTTAAATAGAAAGCTCACAAAGTTTATATCCATGTTTAAAAAAAATTGAAAGGTCACCCTTTGATTTAAAAATTAAAAAAATTTGTATCATTAAATACAAAAATGGTAAAGTTTGCATCCTTATATGCATTTTTTCAAGATAGACCCATTTTAGATCTCTCTCTTTCTTTAATGGTTGGGCCCCGAGTAAATTTTAATTTGGAGTTGTTATTATATATGCCCATCAATAAATTGAAATCTTACATTAGAGGATGAGTAATTTAATTGTGTTTCAACAATCACCACAAATCAAGAATGAATAGTGGGTTCATTGGCAACAAACTATAACGGAGGTGTGACTCACAGGATCGTTTCCACCAATTTTCTCCAAGAGTACTGTTCACTAACTATAGAAATTATAGAAAACGCAACAGAAGAAAACAATAAAATTGCAACATTAGAATGAAAAGTATATTTTCTAAGTATAATGTTGTTTTGTAGTACATCGCAAAGTGTTTAAAAATGAATTTGTATCCTTTGTCTTCAGAGGAAAAAAACTAATTGCAAAATATGTCAAAAGATCAACCAAGCCATCTCGAAAGCATACACGTAAGAGAATACGAATGAGAAAATATTATTTTAAACTCAAGACATACCTATCAAATTCATAAATCTTCATATATATATATATATATATATATTCTCTACCTTACTCATTGTTTTCCTTTGATATGATGTCTTTACACATCTCTTATCTCTCCACCTCACATGTTAACCTTTAGTACTTCAACAAAGTGAAATTGAAATAAATCCTTACCAAACTCAAAATAGTTATTTATATAACATATAAGAGATGCAGCCTTACATTTTCCCCAATTAACTCATCATGCAAAGAGAGCATCTCTAGCCCTTCATTTGAACCCTATTTTATTTACTTAGTCACAATCCATGTGTTGCGTCTTGCATATTTATTTAAAGTCTATCACACTAATTTTACACTCATCAAACTCAAAAAATGCCTATGCCAATTGTATTTCCTATTGGTGAATTGGTAAATGAATGAGATGTTGGAGCAAATTAAAATGCTAATTATAGTTTCTAACTATTGTTAATTACTGGATAACTGGTAGTGGTTCCGCTTCAATCTTCATGTTAAAATTTCTCTCCCTTTTTTCTGTTGTATCCCTAATTTGGGGAGTTCAAGCTTGGGAATATAATTGAGTTGACAAGTCCAGAATTGAATTATTTACATAAAATTGTAAAATAATTTTTTTATAACAAAATTGGATTGATTGCAATGCGTGGTGCTGTTGTGCTATAAATGATGAATCCAATCATATGAATTAAGATTGGGAAATCCTGTTTTCCTTAAATGCTCAAATATGTCATGACTTCATGGTTCATACTAGTATTGTACAGAATTTTTTGTAACTCTATATTGTTTAATATGAATTGGATTCATGTCATATATCCCCAAGATAATTATATTACAAAAATTTTATTTTTATATTTTCCTTTTTCCCTTTTGTTTGTTGGAGTATGTTGAGTGTGATCAGGTTCCTTTTTGAGTTGAGTGTGATCAGGTTCCTTTTTGAGTTAAGTGTTGCTGTGTGATGCGAAAATGTCCCAGATTGAAAAGAAGCAAAAAAAACCTTAGTAAAAGGTAGAACCCTATGAATTTAATGGACATATCTTTCGATTTTTAGATGATATCTTTCACATTTGGCCAGTTTTCTCTTTAGGCCCAATGCCTTTTTTGAAAATTTTGCAGCATTGTTTGCTCATGAGCTTCATCGAGTACTAGCTGCCTGAATAAGTTCCAAGTATAAACTTGTGTTATTTCCAAAAATAGCATAATTTACCGGTACTTTACCAATTACCATGTCAAAAATCTATCTTGGGGACTAGAGACCTATCTCAAGGAACTTTGACAAAGAATTGGCCTTGTGTGTGTGAGAGACAAGTGCTGACAAAACATTGTGGAAAGGTTCATTTCTCAGTTGGAGCTGGTTTGAGCGTGAGTGCAGTTGTTGGCACTGTTGGACATGCTACTGAAGCTAACTTGCGTGGTGGTGGTACCATGGATTGTCCTACTTACCACACAAATAGTACGCAATAGATACTATTCACTGGCTTGGAGGTTATGAGTGCATCAAGATCATGAGGGAAAAGATAATTGGAATATGGCATTTGGTTCCCCAATCTAATAAAACTAAACTGGATATTGGATTAAAAGCTTGCTCAGTTTGCTTGCTGTCATACAAGCATTCGTTGGTAGAGACAAATGTTAAGAACCCTCAATTCTGCAACGAAAGCTTGAACTAGAATGAAGAGTGAAAGACTTCTCCAATGATTGGCATTTCATCTTCACTTAGTAGCTCACAATATTCGTGAGTATTTAGTTTTTTTTTTTTTTTCTTGATACATCAAAGAGTTAACTGATTGACAACATAGAGATTTAAACTTTTAACTTTGACTCTAAATTAAAGTTTTTAAGTTAGTAAGTATCAATTTGAGCAAACTCTTGTTGGTATGAACATTTGATAATGTTGAAAAGGTTCATTCGTTATTGCATTTCCCTTGCATGCAAAAAGAGAGCAGCATCCCTACCTATTCATTTGAAATTTATTTTATTTACTTGTCACAGTCAATGTGCCATGTTTGGCATATATATTTAATCTCTATTGCACTAATTTTACACTCATCAGAGAAAGATGTCTACACAAATATTTTGCATGGGTAAATTGGTAAATGAATGAGACGTAGGAGGAAATTAAAATGTTAATTGTCATTTCTAACTACTGTTAATCATTGGATTATTTGGTAGATAAGGCACCTCTTCTAGATTGAAGCTAAAATATCTCACTGTTTCTATTGTATTACTGGTTTGGGGAATTACACGAGGCTCTCTAAAAGTCTAAATGCTTTTTAGGAAGTTTCCTCCTCAAAAATTTAATAGTTTAATCTCTGCCAATCAAACTTTTTATGATCCAAATGGGATGGGTTGAACAAATTTTATACATACTTCCAAAACAATAAAAGTGTGATAGCTAAAATGAGAAAATCATTAATTACATCATTTTGCTTAAAACATGCATTTTAAAATATATATATATATATTGGTTAATTTAATTAACAATTAATCCAATTCAGTCCGTTTAAAGATAAAACCACTACCAAACCAATTTAGTTTTCAATCATTATCATTCAAACCAATTCAATTTAAAGGTCAGTTTCAATTGACTTTTGAGTGGTTCTATTTGATTAGAATCAAATGTGAACAACCCTAATCAATGGTAAAACAAAACTAGTTCTAGGGTTAATCAGGCCGCCCCACCCTCACATTACACACCACACAGCCATGCAAAAAACTGCAGCAAAATGGAAGTTGTAAGAAAACCTGTACAGATTCTACACTGTACAAGGGGAGCTGAATAGATGTCATTATAAACCTAGAAGAAAGTGTTCAAACGAAAAACACCAACTATATCAACCATATTAAAGGCTCCAAACAAGGTTTATGTTCAGAAAACATCTATATTAATTACATCTTGTAAACTAAAACCGATGTCTTCATCAACTTAACAGCTATCTGCTACAAGAATGGCAGAAGTCTAGTTCCAAACATAAACACCGCATCCATCCCCACTTCCTCCAAATAAATAACAGGAACGAGGGAAGTCTTCTGTTCTTAACCCCTGTACATACTAATCCACTACAAATCTCCATATCATGAATTCCACAAGAGAGCATTAAAATACGCTCTAATTCTGAAAAAAAGAGAAGGACCCGACCAAGCAAAAATATCACTGCATAGTTCTATAGCATCATACATAAAACTTAGAAGCCCACTTCTATGTTTTGACAAGAAAAGCATAGCAATAAATTAAAAACAAGTTGACAAGAAAAACTAAAATATCAAAGGGGGCTAAGTTGACCCTTACTTAAATGGCCTTGGAGCTTCAGCTTAAACCATTGTGCATATGCTCCAAAATAGCCACACATTTCCACTGATGTATCCTGTTGCATTCAGTTCTTCTAGAACTTGGGCATCACTTGCCCCGTGATCTTTATCCAGCACTGTATCAACCATACATTAATTAAGGATTCAAGTAATGGACCGTTGTGCAAGATCCAATATCAACTTTTTCTGTTGATCATTAATTTGAGGTAAACACGCTTGCAGGAGATCAACTGGCATTTCCCTCTTAATGGCCATTGCAGCATCTGATTCACTAATGGCTGTGTTTGGTTGGACCTGCATGCGCAATGACTGCGTAACTGTATCATATTTGTTTATGCAATACTTTGTGAGAAGGTTAAAAAATTCATCGAAAGAGGCCTTCCAAAGAGAATGATTTGTCATATTATACTGGCCAGCAGCTCGAGACTCCATTATGAGTTTTGTTGCCCTATCAAGAACAGACTTTAAAATGAGAGAAGCTCCATCTCCGGCAGGACTTCCAAGAGGGCGGAGTGGGGGCTGCTCTGAGGAGCAAACCACTGCTGCAAGACAAGCACTAAGTGCACGAAGATCCATGCTATGAACACAAGACGAAACAACCCTTGCAAGATTATATGTAGTTTCTACTGCCCCAAGATCACAGGGCAGACATCCAAACAAGAACCTCAAATGACGGAAAATTGCCATACACACAATTCGCATCAGCTCAATTCGCATCAGCTCACCACCTGGAAAAAGAAGCTGAAGGTACCTTGCAAGAAGCTTCCTACCTTTTGGAAGAGAAACTAACTGTAAGAACACAAGATCATCCTTAGGAACAAGCTCATCTGTACGATCATTCTTGCCAAGTGGGTCAACCAATTGAAGTGATGCAGCTAGCCCTTCCAGCAGGTCCTGCCGCCTTCTTCTCAGCTGAGCTCCACCATCCTGAAGCTGATTGAACTGTAGGAAACGGTCAATATCATCTACATCAAGAAGAAGACATAGACCATCCTCAATTGTAACTCTAGCAGCAAGCATTGGCTCCTGTTCCAAAGGCTTATCAGATGCTTTCTGCTCAGTGTTGCTGACAGGAGATGAGTTTGGATTCTCAACTTCAAGGAGAGGGCGAGGCCTACGAATTGAAGAGAAAGGAACCCTCCCAAGAGCATCAACTTGGAGAAATGCATGTGGTTCAGTATTAGCACGTGCTTGAGGAGGAAGCTCCCTAAGGTGAGTTGGGCAGAAATGATGTTTTAACTTTGCCCCAGCTGATTTTCTAGCAAGACAAGCCTGGTGATAATAATCATCCACATATGGGTCATTACTGTGAGTTGCAACAAGCTGCATTCGGACAATACCGTCAATCTCGTCAGCTGTCATGTATTTAGATCTAAACTGCAGCCACCCTCGATTGCTCCTCTGCAAACTAGGCTCAAATCCCTGCTGAGAAAAATGAAGGTTCTGCCTAACTTTGTGAGCTGATACCGGTCTTTGGTCTCTTGGATCAGTGAAACTAAGCATTGCTTCAAACTTGTTCATAAGGGGTGGTGATGAAGAAAGATGAGGATTAAATAATTGGGACTGGACCCCTGACAAATGGCCAATTGTTGGCTGAATGGGGTGCTGCAGTCTTTGCTTCTGTGCTTGAAGCTGTGACACTAATTGCTGTGGAACCAATCCATTCTGATTAGGTAACTGCTGTTGCAACACATTACTCAAGATGCTGGAATTATCTCCAGCATACAAGTTTGTCAGGTTGAGCCATTGATTTTGTGGTCGACTCTTGAAAGGTACACCAGGAGGATATTGAGGTATATTACCACCATATTGCGGTCCATGATGCAACCCAGACATTTGCAGCTGAGAATTAGTGAAAGCAGAATGGTTTGGGGAAGATGCTATCTGCGGCCCACCAGCCATATATGGTATATTGAGATGACTTGAATGGTGATTGGGTGAAGCTTGTGGAGATCTGCCACCATGAGGAGGATATGAAGTGTGTGAAGATTTTTGAACAAGAATTGGCTCACTAGCAAAGTGTTGCTGCTGCTGCTGCTGCTGCTGCTGCTGCTGTTGCTGCTGTCGTCGTTGTTGCTGTTGCTGCTGCTGCTCAGGGTATGAGGTTGTTCTGTATAGAGGCTTTGAGGCAGAAGAAGAAAAGGGCTGGGATGACCAACGCTTGCCATCAGAAATGTTTTCATTTTCAAGCGTTTGCTGCTCAACCCAATCAGGCAAATCCACTCTCTGTGCCCATTCAGCAACAGATGAACCTTGAAGAATGACATAATAGTCAGAATAATGAAAACAACAATGACAATATAACAACCCTCTATTTACACACAGACAGAAAGAGAGCAGAAAACATCATTCCAAACCCAAATTTCAATGTCATGGACACCTGAATAACAGATGCAAATCTAAATTCTAAATTTCCAAAATGGTTTCTTACTCATATATTAAATTGCATATATCATACACATCCACGTTTTGTCAACTAATTTGTTCTCAACGTTTGAATATCATTATAACAAATAATGCAAATACTCAGGTCAAAAGGTCTGGCTGATTAATGCAGTGGACTGCCAGTGCCACAAGATGGTGCAATATACTGGCCAACATAGGTTCTTGGAAGAGAAGTTGGCAGGCCTCAAAAAGGTGAAATGAGTCCTCAGCTTTCATAAAGTTTCAAGCTAGGATACAAGCCAGTTTGCAGTCCCATAGGGAGGTCTGCAAGTGAATTGAAGAAACTTCAATCACAAACTCATGGTGATTGGTGAGGTGCAAAAACGGAACAAAACTAATTAAAGGCTATAATTGCAAATTTATAAGTGGTATCTTGATATTGCAAAACACCATGCACATGAGACTAAACTAGCCTATAAAAAGTAATGAGAAACTAGTTTAAAAATTAAAATAATGCAAAAAATATCATTTTCAAATGGCACCCTGACATTTTAAGGGATCGTGAAATATGATGACACAATTGACAACAGAAGTTATTCCATCCAAACTCTCTGCTTACTAATGATTAAAGAAGAATGTGTTAATCAATTATTAATCTTTGCAAGGAAGCATGTATACATTCATATAGATATACCTCTATCTAGACCTATACCACTAAATGCATGCTTTATAATAGCTTATACATTACCCTAGCTAAAAAATGTCTTAAGAGTTTATAAATAACACTACATAAAAAGAAAAAATTAATATTAAAATGGAACTTTTTTAATGAAATAACAAAATGGGTGCAGAAAAACAATAAATATCTGATAAAGTCAAAAAATGGTAATTAATTCTACAGAAATCAATTGAAGAAATTTGCACTTACTTTCTCTAGATCCCTCATCACCAAACATCCCAAAATTTTTTGGTCCACTAACAGCATTACTCAACTGTCAAAAATATAGGATAGTTTTAGCAAACACTCATAACCACACTACATGCCACCATTAAGTAGGTATCATGATAAAATATATAGCAAAGAATAGAACTTCAGTCTTTTGGTCATTATCTAATCCAACAAACTTTTATACCATGCCTAAGTTGGTTTGCAATAACTACTAAACTAAAACAGTAGTACAAAGTGAGAGAACCTCCATCGAAACATCAGAATTATGATAGTCCTCTCAGATCGAGGGATTTACTTTGAAAGTTAACTTGAATTAGGGCTCTTAAAAGTATTCCTGAATAGAGGTGTTTTTGCACAACAATATTCTTCAACCCTAATCATCATAGAGAAAGATAGATTTCAATTTGGTAAGATATGATCTTGAGAAACAATGCAACTAGCCAGTTTGAAAGAAAGATAATACATACCTGATCAGATTTTAACCTATTCTATTTACTCTGATTGTAGCAAATAGCAATAAGGATGCTCACAGAAAACAATGTTCCAACTTCCAAGGCATTCACAAAAGAGATTTAGTCTAAGGCTTTGTTTGACAACACTTCTCGGTGCTTTACCTTTTGATTTCTATGTCTTTTTACTATTTTTAAAGTATATAAAATGTTAATTAAAATAAATATTAAACAAATAAAATATATTATATATATTTTGGGATGTTAAAGGACCGAAAAACCTACAGCTGCAGCTACAGGCCAGCATTGTCAAACTAAGCCCAACTCTTAGAATAATTCTACTGTTAAGACAGTTGAAATGGTCAAGTGCCTTACCAATAAAAAAACATAAAAATTAAATTTAAGTAATACCATGAGGTAGTTAACATATTAAATTGGCCTCTATGACTAGACTAAATGTGAATGGTAAAAGGATCCCGAGTATCTTCAGCATTTTAAAAATTGAGTAGGCAACTAGGCATCAAGAACTGTGAACATACCTTTGAAAATGAACTAGTAAGATCATCAACATCAGATAGAGATCTCGAGACCTCACCCTGAAAGTAATAAATAAGAAATTAGACAACTAAGAATAATCTTGAAAACAAAAGGAGACTAATAGTTAAATGGAAAGTAAAACCAAAAATGTGAGTCATCAAAATCAAGAATAGGATATTCATATGATACCAATAACCATTTCTAATCATTTCTAGAGAATAAATCAAATAAGTGAACGGAAAGAGCAGGAAGAAAGGAGCAAATGCCAAAAAAGTCTTCATTTCTTTTGTTCTTAACGTAGACCACAACCAACTACAGCTATTCCATCAGGAATGCAACAGATTAAGGACTCCAAAATCTTAAACAAATTTCATGAAGTAGCTTGTTAGTTAAGCCATTAAATGCATCCCCATCCAGAGGCATATGAGAACCCTACACATTGGACATCTATAATTCATGCAACTCTTGAAAATTAATCAACTTCCATGGGAATAAAAACGTTGCAAAAAAATATATTCTGTCTAGACGCCTAAAATAAATACAGAAGATCTAAACTCAAAATTTTTCATCTTTCTGAGGAAGAGAACATGCTAGTGAAGAGAGGGGGGATACAAGATAGGTTGATCCAAGTTCCAACAGCCTTTTTGATCAAAAAAAGGTAGAGATGGAAGTAATCATGCAACAAGAAACATCCAATTAATGACTTGAATTTGCCACTTAACCTCTAAATACATACAATTGCTCTGGAGGTACATTACAAAAATACAAATAACTTCTGCTTTAAGTGCCACTCCAGACAGAAAACCACACTATTTGAAACATATTTTCATAAACAAAACAATATGCTTTCTTGGAACAAAATAACTGAGACTGAACAGAAGTGCATCAGATATCATTTTCCTTTAGAAGTATACTGAAGAAAAGGTCAATGCTGTATTAACTGCCAAGAAATAAAAAGTTAGGAAATAGCAGAGAAAATGCAGAGAACATGGATAATCATTGTTAATGTATTATCATTAATCTTAAAATTTGAGGAAGAGAGATTTACACATACCAGCAGAAATTTTCAATTCTTTTTGGTCCAAAACATGCATTAAATTTGTAAGATCAACTGAAACATGAAAGCAAATGAAATGAACACAAAAATGAACAAGATTAAAAAGAAAATTAACCTCCTCTCTTTCAAACAGAAACTCCTCTTCATGTAACTCAGCCACATGTAAATCCTCCTCTTCATCCTCTAATCCCCCCAACTCAACTTCCTCAACAAAGTCCTTTCCAAAAAATGCATATTGTGATGCATCAAAGACTGCATATTCTGCAACAGAGATGCAAGCATCAATCAACGTGCAACATTCAGCATGAACAATAAGCTACATTTCATTACACCATTAGCAGTAATAAAACACATGTTGAAAAAAAAAAGCAGAAAATCAATCCTGACATTTAAAAATAAAATGTAGCAATTATCAAAAGCAACAAAAACCATCTCAGTTTAAAAATGCATAACCCATTTCAAACTACATGAAACACACCTTTAAACTTATGTCCTTGAGAGCCTGAGTGCACAACACCATCTCAAAACAACTGGATCTATATTTTTCTAAATTCCACTACTTGTTTGACTTCAATT